TTTAAACATTACTTATAAAATTGTATACATCTAAAATCAATTTAAACAATATTATATCAATATAGATGAATCCTTTTTGTGTTTTGTTCATCATGGATATACTTCATTCTCATGGAAAGGCTGTAGCAAGAGTTTTAAGCTCGAAAAGAATGACATACACATTGAGGACTTGGACTGACATCTCTAAATAGATGTGGAATTCAGAATGATTAGTTTCGAGGAAAGCATAGATCAATTCACTAAAATTTATATGGTGGATAAAAAAAGATTGGAAAGGGATGATGATCATCAATGAGACCATGACAAGAAAATAAAGAATAATTCAAAAGGTGAAGGTTCCAAGTAATATAAAGGCTTGCTGTCACTTTCGACAAGACGGAACATCTTTAGACATGTTTGAGCCACATTATTTTGGAATAATGTATTCTGGAATGGTGGATTAATGGAGAGTGTGTGGTTGAAAAAAGAAGGAAATGTTATTGATGTGATGTAAAATATTATTTTATTAAAAAATGTATTGTTGAAAATGAGTAGAAAAATAAGAATTAAAATTTTAATTTGTACCAAACAGAGGCTTAATACCATTATTTGAACAAATTTCTAGGAATGCCATCGCCACTTGCATGAAATCCAAAATTACGCCTTTTAAAAAAGCAATGGTCCCTACTTGAGCTTGACTTTGCCTGTTCTACGAGGAAAATTCTACGAATCTCTTTGCTACTTGTCAATAAGTTATTCATGAAAAGGAAAAGGTCTGTTCCAATATTTTAGACTTTAATAAAATTAGGTCTAAAATACTTCACAGTAAAGAAAATAGACACAATATTTAATATTCCCATTAAATTAAGTCTAAAATGTTTCCTATTATTACTTATTGATGGATAGGCTAATTTTTGAATACTTAAAATAATCCTTCATTGGAGACAAGTAAGAATATCCATAGCTCAGATTATCAGAATACATGGGGTTTAAATTTCAAATTTCTTCCGGTCAATAATAGATCCAATAAGAAAGTAACCTTGCCCTTATTCCTCGGGAAAATAAGTGAGTGCAAGTAAATTAGTCTAGTTAACTAATAATAAGTTTGTTACAACATTTCAAAAAATATCGATTTTTGATATTACTGGATGCATAAAAGAGTTTGCATGAATCGTAGGATCCATCAAAAGAGTTTCAGTGCGAAAATGGACGAGTCGTGGCTATCCTAACCTTGGCTGCACCCACTAAGAGCTTCTTTCGACTAGGCCACTGCACGCAAAGATTTCTGCATGGATGGGAATGGCCGCCAATGTGCTTGAGGCGACTGCTCCTCACTCTCAAATGTTCAATTTTCCTTCAATTGTTTATATCTTTTCATATGAAATGTAACTCTAAATATGAAGTGATGTGACTCGCATGGATGATTGTAACTCTTAATAACTTATAGTTTCAACATCTATGAATAAGATTGGTAATTTTTATATATTTGAGAATCATATTGATATGATGCCTAAATAATGTTCACCATTCCCTTGTTCTTGTGTAATAAACCACAATCGCATTTTTTTCTTACATTATTTTGTTTGTAATTTGTCATTCTAGAGAACAAACATATATCTCGTGTATAGACATCTTTAATCGTATTTATAGATGTACAACACAGACAACAAAATGACTTCATTGTAATCTAGAAGTAGAAAGATTTCAAAAGAAGCATAAACTATATTTTGTAAATTTTAAAACACTGCAAATTAATTATATAGTAGTTGTTATTGTTTGGTGAGAAAATGAAAGCATGAAATCTTTTGTGGGGTAGGTGAAGATGAGATATAGTGGTTGATTAATGTTCCCTCATCATTGTACTAAAAAATTAATTTTTCTGGCCTACTTTGACGGAATTCAAGAGATAGTATATTTTTTGTCACATCCAATTCAAAATAACAAATTTACATTTATGCCCTTTAGCACAAACTACAAATAACATGTGCCTGCTAATCAAGTGCGTCAATTTACTACCAAATAAAAAAATAATAATAATATCTTTTCCTCGAAATATGAAAATTACACAAGTCTATCCTGAAATTTATGATAATTATTTGTATATTGCCCAACAATTTTATGTTATATGCAATTATATTTAAATTATTATATCTCTTTTTTTTCTTTTTTTCTTTTTTTTTGTGTCGATCAAAATAAATTGTATTACTTTTTTTTAATTATTTTTCTAACTCTTAACCAAGGTTGGTGAACAATCAACCAAAAAAAAAATGTCACGGACTTATAATTTAAATCGTTATCTTCATTTTCTTATGGTTATAGACTTATAGTTATTTTCAACCTTCTTCAATTGAATATAAATCTAGTAGTTCATAAATTTATTGATATACCAAGGGTCGGGAGCTGGTGTGAAGAGCGAGCAGTCCAAAAGGGCAAATGTGATATTCCAAGGGTCGGGATTTTTCGAAATATTATCTTGGCTACCGTAAATTTTGCGATTTTTATTTAATGGTATACTAATCTTTATTGGTTTCTATGGGTTCTGTTAACTACTTTTTGAGTTATTTTTCTTTTTATTTAACTATTAATTAATAGTAAGATACAAGGGTAAAAATGCTATCTTTTGGCTGTTGATTTTCTGTGACATCAATTTAATATTTTCACTGTCAAATTGTCAGAATTTTTCAATGTGGTGATTTTTGGTTGACAAGTCGTCCCTTAATTGTATTTATTGAAGTTGGTATACTAAAAAATCTCTCTAATGTTAGTCTTTATAATATATGTAATTAAGGCAACAAATTGCTGCTGCTGTGTAGCTGGCAGTTACAGCAGCTGCTGTAGCTGTCAGCTATAGGCTCACAGTCACAGGCAGCCTTTTTGATTTTTATTTATTTTTAATTTTTTAAATTATGCTGCTCATACGAGTCGAGCCGTCCGAGTCAACGAACTTTTTTGCCATCCCTAAATCCAAATGATCGACAGTCATCTTTGTTTTCGTTTGGCCTCTGCCTCTGCTGTGTATATGAAAGAATGTGAGTTAGTAACCTTGAGCTTTAAGATGAAGATCCTTGAGCCCCATCATTCATTGTCAATTTATGAGATTTTCCAAATGATTTTTGCTGTTTGAAACAAAAAATAAAATTTTCTTTCCAATGAATTATGAGGCTTAATATTGAGCTCCATCAACTTGTTTTGAGGTTCGAATTTCGTCATACAAGCCATCTATTGTCTATTAGGTCAATCTTGGAGCCACAATTGGATCACTATAGGCAAAGCTACTCTTTTATAATTACTCTCAATAACTTACAATTTTATATATTTATTTATTAGGTTCCTCAAATGTGAATACAAACTGTGTTTTTAATTCATACTTTCTCCGGTCTGCTACTTCGTATTAAAAGGATTGTCTAATCCTGATATAATTATAGAATACATAAAAAGTAGTACACATATAGTCTCCTAGCGTTTTGGGTTTTGTCCCAAACCTACCATTCTCATTCTCGTTCTCGTTCTCATTATGTTCAAAATAGAAGTAAAATTTGTTGAAGAACAATTAATGCATAAATTTAAGAATTAATTTATGGGTACATAGCCATTAACATAGAGAATGACATAATGTGAGTGGGGGTGGGACCCACGATACTGTAGCACGGGCCCCACCTCACTCACATTATGTCAACCTCTATATTAACCCCTATGTACCTGTAGCATTTCCCTAAATTTAAATAAGGAAAATTAAGTATATTGAATTGCTTCCTGATAACAAAGTCCCATCAATGGGGAAAAAGAAAAATTAATGATCAACCTCGCAAAATCAATACAAATTTTAATACGATGAAATAACTTAAGAACTAGCAATACCTGGACCTAAGAAATAATTCAAGCAAAATGGTACGTTAACAAATACTAAGAAATAATTAAAAGCACAATAGTGTTTAAAACTGAATTTAACAAACTGAACATATACAGTATTAAAAATTAACAATTTAGAGAGAGAGAGAGAAGAGAGAGAGAGAGAGAGAGAGAGAGAGAGAGAGAGAGTCAATGTTGGAGAAGTTTAATTTTGCTCAAACTCGATCAAAAAGTCAAATCGAGGTTTGAATAATCAATATCGACGTCCTATTGACAACAGTTGAAGAAAAATAAATTAATTTTGTATGTAGATATTTGAGCGAAATCTAGAAAATAACTTCAATGTACTTTAACATAGATACTAGGTTAAGGCATAATTGACTGACAAATAGAAAACCTTATCAAATTTAAATTGCAATAATAATTACAACACGGTGAAAAATATAAACTATTAACAAATCCATAAGAGTTCCACAATCTGAAAATAATAATAAGTGCTTACAAATAGAAATAGTGATTAATATAATTGTTGGGCGCACGTCATTGAATTTATGTAAAAATATCTGATTTTAGTGCCAATTTACCAATTAATATTGACATATTTTTACAACATACACAGTAAATTATTATAATGCATAATAAAAAGAAATAATGAAAATTCTTTTTAATGGGCATTAAATAGGGGCTTAATGTACTTTAGAATAAATAGTTGGTTAAGAAAAAAAAATATAATTGAGTGGCAAATAGAAGAGCATGTCAAAGTTCTTTAATCTGATTTTCAATTTACCAAATGAAAATAATTATAATAACAAGTAGAAATAGCAAAATACACAAGACAATTTACTAATTAATAACACTGCTTAGGCATATTTAATTTATATTTACAACATACACAGTAAATTATTATAATGTATAATAAAAAGAAATCATGAAAACTTAAGTGGTTCATCTCAAATACTTACCCCAACTATATAACGAATATGTGAAATCTTTGACCACTCAGAATCAGGACCTCTTTCTTCCCTGCACCTCTCCTCCAACAATGGGCATTTGATAACATATAAACTTCTTAGCCTGGTTAGGTGTTGCATCGCTTCCTTGGAAGGCATATGCCTAAGCTTTTTTAATTCATATAGATGTAATTCATCCAGAGATGACAAACCTCCAACCCACTATGGCAATGCTTCAATTCCAAAACCTTCTAATTTTATGTTTCGGAGCGAAGTGAAATGCTGAATCTGATATGACAATGAGTCCCAATGTTCCCAACCATATAAAATCAAACTCCTGAGAGATTTGGATTGTTGGATGCCGTCGAGAGCAACTTGGAATGAGTTGAAATCAATTGATTCTGAGAATCCACGAATTCTCAATTCTCTTAAGTTGCTAAGACGGCCAATTCCCTTGGGCAAACTCCTCAATTCAGGACAATTGTCTATTATTAAGTATGAGATACAAGGCGATTCCCCCAAATCTATTGGAAAAGAAATGAGTTTCTCGCATCTAGTCACGATTAGATGCTCTAGACCCCTGGTGGACTCAATTATTTCACTTGGTAGGCAGCTCAGCTCAGAGCAATCCGCAGTAGTCAAACGTCGAAGAGAAAGAGGGGGACCTTTTTGTCCACTTTGATGTGAAATTGATTGCAGACTTCGACACCCCATTATCTCCAAAGACTCAAGAGACGAGAAGGTGTGTACTGTGTAGATCATCGGGTAATTCTCTCAATTTGTCACAACCTCCAATAATCAACTCTCGAGGATATTCCTGAAATCCTTTCAAGTGGGGAAGACAAGTGAGCGTTGATATATTCCTGATCGAGAGCTTTTCCAAAGAAGTTAGGTTACTGCTACTCAAAATCTTTGTCAATGGAAAATCACTATCCATACTAACAATCTTCAATTCTTTCAAGCACGGGAAATGACTTNCAATTCTTTCAAGCAAGGGAAATGACTTGGATAAGTATTCAATTTGTGGCAATTTTTAATCTACGGTTTTGGTCATGTCTATAATACGGGAAGCAGTCCCTTTGGTTTTGGAGCTATTAGTCGTGTCTTGACTAAGAAGATCCTTTCATTAATGTAGGTGAAAAATTTGTGTCTCTATAAAAGTTTAGGCAAAATTATTGTGACATGTTAAATTTTTGCGATTCGTATTTGCACTTAATGAAAGGAATGGTAATTTTTTGAATAATGTATGGTTAAAAATAAAGGAAATTTTGTTTTTTTAATTATTTTATGGAGAATATGTAGTTGATAAAAAGAGTTTATGCGCTTAGGCAAGACCAAAGCGTAAAAAAAATAATTTCTTATTTTTAATATTATTTCAAATTTTGAATCATTTTAATAATAATATAGTAATTAAACTAATACATGCCATCATCTAAAATTATAAAATATTAATATTTACTTACTAAATTTTGCAATTAGTCAATTATATGATTTTTAAGTTTATGAAATGCAAAAATTAAACTATTTTACATAGTTTTAACTTTTCAACTAGATAGTCCTACTTTAAATTTTCTAATGTACTTTAATTTTGATTTTTGTACAGAAATATTATTTTAAAAACTTGAAATTAAAGTCAAATAAAAGCATTTTGAAAAAAAGAAAGAAATTAATAAAGCACCATTAGACGTGCATTACCAAGATGTGATGTTTATGTTGATTTGGTGTGTGGTTTGTTTGGCATTGATGAAGTCTAGACAATATCCATTTCCGAGCCGACCGCTCGGCTCGTGCTCAGGCTCGTTTTTTAACGAGCCCGAGCAGCTACAGTACGAGCTGAGCGGCTCAGCCGCTCAACTCGATTGCCACCACTAACAGTGGCACATTCATCATGCGAGGCATAATATTGAGCTCAATCAATTTGTTTTCTTTCATTTTTGTTGTATTTTAGTTCTTAATTGTGATTATGTTCAATGTAGACGTAAAATCTGCTGAAAATAATTAATGCGTAAATTCATATAAGAAAAATTATATATATCAAATTGCTTCGTAGCACCACATTAATGGGAAAAATGAAAAAAAATTATTATCACCAATGCAAAAATCTATAAAATCACGTAAAGCAATACAAAATTTAATATGATAAAATAGCATAAGAACTAGCAATTCCTTGACCTAAGAAATAATTGAAGCAGAATAATATTTAATAAACACTAAGATATAATTAAAAGCACAATAATCTTTAGAAATGACTTTAACAAACTCAACGTATAGAAATTATCAATTCATACTCCGTGCACTATTAAAAGTGAACTACTACCTACCTCCCCCAAGAATCTACGCTGGAGAAGTTTGTTTTTGGTCAAACTCTATTAAAAGTCAAATTGTAACTTTCTCCTCGAACATTTGACTAATCGATACCACTTCCCACTGACAACAATGAAAGGAAAAATAAATTCATTTTGTGCATACAGATATCTAAGTGAAATCTAGAAAATAACTTATATTTAGTTTAGTATAGATACTAGGCTAAGCATAATTGACTTGCAAATAAATAACCTTTTCCAAGAAGAAAATATTATTTAATTAACAATGCTAATAGTTTTTGCAGATGTTTCAATTAATAGTGAATCATTCAATTGAAGGGTCACAACGTCTAATGGCAGAGAGAGAACAAGATTCAGGGTGAGAAAATTATGAATTATAAAAACTAGAGAAAAAAAAACATACGAATAAGTTTGCGTCGTAAGCAAAAGGGTGAGAAAATTCTTGTATGGTGAGGTCTGTTTGCGTCGTCGAATGACTTTAAATTTCTCTTTTTTTTACTCATTTTTAAGTTTCTCTTTTTCGCTGCATCTGTGTGTGTCCAAGATAATTTTTTTCCCAATCTCCATGTGATGCTGCGGTTTCTAAACGGAGGTCCTGCGACGCTCAAATCAAAGTGTCAGACGAGGAATCTGAACATTATTCAATAAGACGATTATTGAATTACACGCCTACAGTAATTGACCAATTCAAACGTGATTGCACTATGTTCCAAAAGCCTTTTTGTCCTTAATAGCTGGCCAGTATAGAGGAGCGTTAATTTACTGCTTTTAACTAGGAGGGACATTGATGTCATTTTATTAACAACTTAGAGGGTGAAATAGTCAGATGTGATTACATGCACTACTAACCCACTACACCTAGTTATTATTAGGGCTGGACAAAACTCTCGAATCGAATCGAGCCGAACCGAGCCGAACCGAGCGGTTCTTCATAAGTTAAATACCCGAACGGGTATCCGAATCGAGAACCGATGAGTTTGGATCAGTTCTAGACCGAGAACCGAAGAACCAAATAAGAACCGATTTTTTTTTTAATAAAAAAATTACCAAATTAATTAAAGAAACTAACTAAGTCCAACCAAATTTATTTTTTTGTTGACTCAGTTGCCCAACATTTGGGCCTTGTCATTGGTAAGCCCACTAGTAAAGTACAAATCCAGCCAAATCATTTGATAATTGTAATTTGTAAAACCTATATCTCGATCTCCATTCATCAGTTCACCAGGTGGCGGTAGCTCATTAATCAATTTTGAAGCTCCACAATCTTTCCAATTATGTTTGTAGAGTTTTTTTACTATGACAAGTCAAGCAATTGATGATTAAATCAAATAGTCGATAAGTATTACCAATACTTAAAAATATTTTATTTTTATAACTTTTTATTTATATTTCATTTTCTTTATGCGGACTACTTGAAACAAATGAACTATTGATATAAATCAGCGATATTTTGAAGGATTTTATCTACTTTTTGGTGTTTGTATAAATTGAATTAATCTACTTTCAATATTTTATTTTTATGTAGTGTTGTTGTAAACGTTGAAAAATTTAATTATGGTACAGAGCCGAACCGAACGGAACCGAACCCCGAACGGTTCCATAATTATATTTGGACTCGACGATTTCATTTATTAAATACCCGAAAGTTTTGGGTCAGTTGAGAACCGAACCGACCCGACCCACGCCCAGCCCTAGTTATTATGGAAATTTTGATCAAATCTATAAAATCTATAAAAGTCACACAAAACATCTCGTCGAGGTCACTTGCGGCCTTGCTCGGGCTCATCATTTGATTAGCCTGAGCGGCTTGCGGCTCGTACTGTCACGAGCCAAGCAGTTGAGCCGTTTGCCATCTCTAAAACAAGCGCACCAAGACAAGGGCAATTCTGCTAGCCCCTATTTGGACTCCACTATTTCACATTTTAACAAGAAGAATAATAATTTTTGAAGAATGTATAATTGAAAAATGAAGGAAAATTCTTTAGGTTTAGATTGTAATATTATTTTATTGAAAAATATGTGAATGATAAGAAGAGAGAAAAAATGAAATTTAAATTAATGGGAGCCAAACTGGGGCTTAAATTGCAATTTTGAGCATTGCCAATATCTCATCATCAGCCACCAAGCTGGCTACCAACTTTTGCATTGTTGCAACTACTTCTCAAGCATCACAACTATTGCATATATATAACAGACATGCACAATCGCTTGCATTTATTTGTTCTAGTCATTATTCTAGTGTACATTTTTCTCATTTCCATCAAGTGACTTGGATGGAATATAAGTAAAATTTGGAAAACTCAATTTATGAATTTAAATTGGTAAGTACCAAAGTGAAATGTATCCTCAAGTCACGTAAACTAGTGTGATTTATCTCAGTTATTAGTGAAATCTCCACCAAACCTTCATATTAAAGACTAAAACCAAATCTATTAAACGATGGAAGACCAATACTCCATCAGTAGCACATTTTGTATTCTCAATCACCTGATCTCGGTATCTCCTTGCAGGAATTTTGCGCATGATTGCCAAAAGTGCATGAAAGTATGTGAAAATATAATCAGCAACATCACCAATATATCTGAATTTTAAACTTTCAGTATAAAAAGAAATTAGCTCCTTTCATATCCAATTTGATTGGACACCTTAAAGAGTGAAAATTTAGTGCTCAATTCAAGAATCGGGAGATTCAATCGGTACGATTCAATCAATTCTCGTATAAATGTTCACCACTAACACAAGATTAGACAATCGAGAGCATCCAAACAATACCCATATAAACTACTAAATCAAGCGATCATAATATACAAAACTTAATTATATAGACTTGACACATGGTAATACAAGGAAATAAGCATGTTTGGCCAAGTATAATCAATATCAATTATATCCTTTTTTTAAAAGGCGTATCCAATATTTCTCTGTACATACTTCCCAGATTATTGTTTGGTTGTCCTGAAATTATGAGAAAAATAGTCCTTTTTTAGGAGTATTCTACAAATGACTAATTTTACTGAAAATATATTAAATAAATAATATAATAATATCAAAAAAGTTCCCATTTTATATTACATTTTCATATTCCGTTGTTTGCTTTAAGTTATGTACAAAGGCCCCAAATAATATATATTTTCCATTCCAAACACAAAACATAGAACTAATTTTTTTTTTCCCGGTATTTTTTTTTTCATTTCTTTCTTTAAGAAGTTGGTGGTTGCGTGAAAATCACAAAATAGATACTAAGCATTTCGAACTTATGATTTTATAAATGCATTGAGTAGCGTCATATTTCAGCCTACTTTTGAAGATGAGCTGTATTTAATTGTTTGTAAAAGTTGTAATATTAAGCCCTTGTTTGATGATCATTATTTTGAGAAGATGGAGTTTTGA